CCCTTTCCTGACAGGGTCAAGCGAGGCGTTGAGGAAAATTTGGAAATACGACCCCCCCCCCACCCTCCGCCGGAGGCCGAAGTCCATGAAACAACCCTCTTCAAAAGCCGAACTATGAAAAGGTTGAAAAGCTTGTTTAATTCTCCCCCAAAACTGCTCATAAAAAAGCCCTGCTACCCCACCGCCCACAAAAAAATTCGTTTAAGAAGTACAAAAGTGAAAAAGTCAAAGAATAATCATTATTGATGAGTCCTACCAAACGAGCAAACGAGAAACAGACCAGAAAACGACAAACTAGCCACTAAAAATGGCATACCCAACATCTGTTCTTTCATTTATTTCCTCCACAAGACTTACCAAATTCTAGTACTACACAGATTGTGGTTCTCAATTTGCACGTAGCCCTTCAGTTGAAAGAAGCTTTTTAACCGCCTTCGCCAGCTGTGTTGACTGGACTTTGGCGTTGACCGTGGAGCAGCTTATTTACTATTGAAATTTGAACAAATATTCAAATGATTATAACTTTCTTCAAATATGACGAATTTTCAATCTGAAAGCAGATTTGGAAGTTTTGTGAAGAGCTTTTTCTAATCAGTATAGAAATTACAAAAAGTTATAAGAAATAACAAATTTAGGTAATTAACGAGGAAAATTCGAGATGAGCACGAGTTTTTACACTTTCCGAAGCAACAACTTGCTTCATTTTCGTCAAATCGAAAAAGTTAGATTTAATTCACATTCACTTCACATCATGCCCACGACTGCACGAATGTTGGGTACGGACGGTTATAAGACTGCTGCCAACACCAAAGATGCCAAGTTTGTGAGATTGGATTGGTGCCGTGTGTTTCGTGATTAGATTACGCTGAATTCGCCTTTTTTGCTATGAAATGATCTTGACAGTTGAAGTGCTGGTTGATTCCTCATATGACTTATCAATGAATAGCTCGTTCTTCTCGCCATTATCGTCCCTTCCAGCCTAGGCTTGTCACACTAGGATGCAGTCAACATTCCTTCTTTGTGTGTGCTCGGCTTTGGTGCTCATCTTTGCGCAAGAAGAACCTGAAGGTATAGACGACGAAGGAGGAGATGCTGAAGGTGAGTAAAACTCCACGGATGACGGTTTGGATGTCGCTTAGTGACAGGCAATTGACTGGTCTATCATAATAATTGCTCGCCAAATTAGTTAGTCTCAGTTTCAATAATTTCCATGAATACAAAAAATAATTACATTTTTTCCTGCTATATTCTGCCCGATATTCACAAGGCAAACCAATGAAGTATGTGTGGGAAGCAAAAAGAGGAGAGAGGAGAGAGTAAAAGAGGTGTACTTCATCAAGTTATCTTCCATCCAGCACACAACTGTGGGGTGCGCTGGATCGATCGGCCTCATCTACTACGGTGCGCGACGTAGTTTTCTTGCGCACCGTAGTAGATGGGATTTGGGTCTCTTGACCGACACTATGACCAGGATCAACTGTTGCTTGTACACTTCGAGCGGGGTAGTTTCTGGGTCGACCATCTCTTTGGAAAGTTGGAACAAATGGGTGTGTTTGTAAAGTTGAAGGGGTAGTGGTTGTGGGTGGAGGTCGTTCAGGACCAATTTTTGGCAGTTTGACAAAAAATCCACCGAAAGCGCATTAAAAAAGCATATGGCGTTTTGTTGGCCAAAACTGATTTTTTCACCCCGTGAACAGCGTAAGATCCATATCGTTTTTGGCGTTATCGCAAGTTAGGGGAGCAGTCTCTAGAAATAAACCTACGAGGAAGCAGGAACTTATGGGAAAATGAAATTCGCTGGAGTCTCTCCCCCCCCCACATGAGGATTGGTCCTGTTTTTGACAAAACGGAGATGTTTACGTGGTTTTAAATGCGTTGACACCACAGTGCCCCGTATCTTGCGTTAATGCCTTTTCTGCCAAAAATTGTATCACTCCGCAAGCTTAGTGTAAGCATAAAAAAGTCAGCGTAAGCTAAAAAAAAGCGTAAACATTCGAAAATAATTAGCTCGACCTGGAAGAAGGATCCTCAAGATCCCTTAGAAAAATTACTTCGAAAGATGTGAAAAGAACATGTCCATCATAAATAAAACAATATGCTCCTGGTTGACAGACTATCGCTATAAATTTGCAACACGCGCAAAGATAAACCCGGGAGTGTCGCCTCGGGTGCTATTGACGCAGATATGTTAGACTGAGAGTGCGATAAAATTTTTTCATTTCCTCCAAATAAGGATTGTAATTTCGTTGCAAAGCTGGTATTAGATGCTCAGAGATCTACAACAAGACGTACTCCGAACATCAGACAGCACTGGAGAAAGCGATCTTCCGCGACTACGTGAGCACAAGAAGACCTGTGAGGTAAGAAAATTGGCCAGATACAGCATCCATCCTAAAATGTTTATTTATCATTGATATTCCTATTTATCTATCGGTGAAATATGACGACAACTTCAGGAATACATCCCAACCACTGGATATTAACATCCATTTCCACATCGTGCACGTGTCGATCAACCAGGAGGAGCAAACAATGACTGTCCATGGGCATCTCTACATGGTACTTGTTCATTTATGGGAAATACATTTTCCGAAATAAAGGCTGAGCACTCAATTATTGGAAATGGCATGGCAACTCACGTAGGAGTTTTTCACTTTCCTGGGGTCATGTAAGCTTTTCACCGGTTTGACGTGAGCGGTAAGCTATTGACGCCTTCCACTTCCACAACACATAAGAGCATTTGTGCTTATTCATTTCCTTTTTGGATTGCCATGTGACTTCAAATCGTGGCATTTTCAAGCTTAAATATTTGCCTCCACAGGCCTAGAGCGAGAATAGTTAAATGCGACTCCATGAAGACGAAAGGTGAGGTGCCGAGGCTGCAAGCAGGAATTGATCACCGACGATCGCGCGTTGGTGTCGTGTGTGTACGTGGAACGCGCTTTGTTCTCTGTATCGAAAAATTAATCATATGCAAGAACACCCAAATCAAAAATTCTGTGCCAAGCAACCTGTTGAAAGTCATTCGTCTCAAACTCTATGGATGCTCCCATAGCAAGCGCATATCTTTCGCCTAACGCTAGGAGAGGATTAGCCAGCCCACATAAGATCGAATTTTCAATCCGCCATACTTACGACAAACACCTATGTTGATATTTAGATGTAACAATAGTGGCCCTATTGAAGCCTAGTACGGTCTGTGGTCTTTGGAGACTAACATAGATACTGAGGTTTTTACGAAAAATCATGGAAACAGCCCCAGAGTTCGTCAATTGCTATGCCAGGCCGCAGCTTAATGTAATACTTCAACAAACAATGAAAAAAGAAAAACAGGAAGAAGCACAGTTGGTTTAAAATTGATACTCATTTGGAACATCCTTTTTACGAGTCGGTTCCAACATTTATTTGGCATACTGTCAGCAAGATTCTGAACAACATTGTCTGGAATCGAGACGCACTTATCGTTGAATGGCTTCTCTCAGCATCGATGCACACCTATACTGGACTCCTTCCAACAAAGACCATTGCGCGCCGAGCACACCCCATCATCTATGGGTGGTCTGAGGAGCCATAGGGGCAATGCAAAATGATCCACATGTTTATGGCCCTACCACGAGGCGTGGGCAGGAGCGCGATCTTGTTGACAACGCACAGGACTCTTGCTAGAGCCCTCCAATAATACGCTTGCCAGTTAGGACCATCCAGAATTGAACTTCATTCCACCTAAACCACTAAGAGCTTAGTAATGCATCTTGTGAGATGTGTCAAAAACCTCGCCCTCCTGAAGTTCCTTGCGAATGTTTTTTATGTCGCGCACGAAGTGCCGAATTGGCACTTGTGGATGAAATAAGAAGCCAATCTAATGATCTGTTTGTGGTCGGCTCAAGTTGCGTGGACGTCCTCCCGTATGCTTGACTGTAAGCCGTACGACTCTCCACGAAACCAGTCGATGGCAGCGTCTGGAGTTGTTCCGCGATGGCCTTGTTGCATTGTCGTACTCGACGAAGGAGTAGAATTGAGCTTCGTTCCGATGGATATAGGCGACGACCCTTAGACATGGTACTACTATGGATATCGCAATCCTGCCACATCCCCATCATCCTGACAGAAACGGTGGAGCTACGCAGATTTGGGAAATTCCGCAACAACGACGGTATGCATAATACGCTGCAAATTTTCATGTTATTGTCGAAAAAAAAGAGCCTCAGTGCAACGTTCAAATATGTCTAGGCTTTGCTGAGACTCTTGTTCACTCAGTAACGTTGGCAACATTTTAGCTCGTAATTTTGTCTAGCAACTCAGGGTAACAGAAAAAAATACGGGGCGGCATAAGCATTGACCCCAGCGGCTTACGACTTCAGGCAACTGTAACTATAACAGGAGGATAGAAATTTGACAAATTTCAACATTTGATGGAATCCTAACACTGCTAAGATGCTGACCAAGATACAGGCTGCATGATACCGGGAGGATGCCACAGATGACATTAGTCACAAAATCGACTAATGATTCCGAGATGATATTGGCGAAATACGATGTGCTGAAAACAGTACATGAGATAGTAACAATAGAACTATGCTGAGAATTGTTAGTATATGAATTGAAATGCCTCCAGCTGAATATGAGGATATATAGTATATACAACATGAACATGTCAAAAAAACCTGGTTGGTGGGTTCAACCCTAATTACGCATAAGTACAAAATTGCCTCATGGCTGTATTTGTGAAAATAGAGAAAGACAACAGAAAGAACGCTTATGGGTCGAATATAGCGACTGTAAGAACAATCGCTATGGTGACAGGGCACCTACAGAATACAGTGTACAAGTTATACGCAGAAATAGACCCTGAATATTGCTAAAGACTGAAGACACAGTCTGCTGGAACCAACGTATACTACTTGGGAAAGATTGTGCAGTAGCGCTGGCAACGCATTGAGCTGCTCGACCGGCTGTTTTAAAGAGCATTCGAATCCGATTGAACCACCTCCGGAAGTGTCACTTCGAAACACAAAAGGCTAATTCGAGGAAAGGGTTTACATAACTCCTGGAACCCTCGCAGGAATTCCA